GCTTGAGGCTCTGTCTCAAAAAAAAAAAAAGGAAAGAAAGAATGGTAAATATACTCATAAATCCATAAGATTTTCTTGCTATAAATTTGTTTAAAACATACATGACTATTTAAAGAAAAAGCTATAATATTATATTATAGAGTTTTAACTATCATATAAACTATAGGGTTTATGTTATAGCTGTCATATATACAAATATCATATATATGTGTGTGTATATATATATGGTAATTGGACCATTTGATTGCAAGCTTCTTACATTTTATATGATGTACACACTATCCATTTTAAAGAACACCTTGATAAAGTAAGGATATATTTGTGATCCAAGCACATTAAAAATTCATAACAATGATGCAGATATATAAATACAAAGGAATTAAAAGAATCAAAATTGAATTTTTAACATTTAATCAATTAATCTAAAAGAAGATAGGAAAGGAAGAACAGAGAAATAAAAAGCAGAGAGGACTGATATGGTAAAAAGAAAAAATATATAGGACGGTGCCTATGGCTCAAAGGAGTAGGGCGCCAGCCCCATATACCGGAGGTGGCGAGTTCAAACCCAGCCCTGGCCAAAAACTGCCAAAAAAAAAGAAAGAAAAAATATATATTGGCTAGCACTTCTGGTTAGTTTGGTAACAGAGAGGATAAATAGAAAACAAACAATAAAATAGTAGGCCTAAATTCAACCCTGTTAATAATTACATTAAATGTAAATAAACAAAACCCTCTAATTAAGCAGTAGCGGATAAAAATCAAGACTCAAGACCTAATTATATGCTAACTAAACAAGATGCACTTTAAGTATAAAGACACAGTATATAGTCCCAGCTACTTGGGAGGCTGAGGCAAGAGAATCACTTAAGCCCAAGAGTTGGAGGTTGCTGTGAGCTGTGATGCTATGGCACTCTACCAAGGGTGACACAGTGAGACTCTTGTCTCAAAAAAAAAAAAAAAAAGAAAAGAAATGTTGGTTTCGTCCTTCTTCTCCTTTTCTTCCTCATCATAACTCACAGAAACCTCAAACTTCTGGGTTCAAGCAATCCTTCTGTCTCAGCCTCCCAAATAATTGGGACTACAGGTATGCATGGTCTCGGCTCCTTTTTCTATTTTTTATAGAGATCAAATCTCTCTCTTGTTCAAGCTGGGCTCAAACTCCTGGCCTCAAGCAATCCTCCCTCTTCAGCCTCCCAAAGTGCTAGGATTATAGGCATGAGCCACTAGTTTCCTTCTTATGTTGTCCCTTTATGAAGGATAATACAGGGTCAGCATAGGTAAGTAATGGCCCCTTTCACTGAGCACCTACTCTATGCCAAGCATTGTGTTTGGGTGGCTCTTATTTTGAAATCTCCTAATTCTTTAATAAATAATTTAATTTGCATATATAAATGAGGAAACTGAGGTCTTCAAAGATTAAGAGAGTTACAGGGCTACACTAAAGGGCATAAAATTCAGCCCAGGCAGCTCTAACTTCAAGGGCTATGTGTTCTTTACTGCCTCCACCACTCTGCCACTTCTGGAGTCATTTGGCCTTTTGATGAGGCCTGGATGGATGACCTATGTTCAATATGCTTCTCTTTTTGGCAGATGTTAATTGGTGTTTAGTCTTTAATCAAGGCACAATGAAATCTGTTTTTCTATAGGTTTTCATTTTATAAAATTGGAAAGAGTTTTGCAGGGGGGACAGTTTCTTTTAGCTGTCCTGACATCATACGTAAGAGATAATCTCTTCAGTGTTCAACACAGGACTGCACAGTTTTGTTGGCTAAAATTCTAGATATAATGTGATGTAGCCCCTGGCACAGGGCCATGCCCTGAGTTGGCACTCAATACATATTTGTGTAATGAATAAACTGGATGAAGTCACTGCAGTCCTGCTAGATCATTCTTTCTGCCCTGTTTCTATCCTGTTATCCTGGTCAGGCTAACATGCTGGGCTTTGTTCCTTGGACCCTCTATAGCTGTTTCATGGGGGGGCTGATTTGAAGATATTTAGAACCACAGACAGATGTAGGATAAAAAACGTGAAGGGAAAAAACAGCTGTGAATGACTGACAACAAGATTCATCCACAGGTGAATCAATGAGAAGTCCATGAAGCCACGAAGGTAAGCAGTGTGGTGTGGGACAGCATGAGCAACCAGAGGAACCCACAGGACCCCACAGGATAGCCCTGGAATGACAATTTCAGACTGGATGCTGCTTCTGGTGGTGTCTGAAACACAGATTCCTACAATAAATCTTCCCATCTCACTTTGCTTTCCCACATTACACAGAGTATCAGGGCACTGATCCCAGGTGTTGGCAATTAATGCTACCAAAAGTCTTAAAAATACAGCAGAACCTCCATAACTGATCACCTCCCTATATTGTCCACCTTGAGTTGACCTAATTTTCATAGACTGGACATGCACCACATATACTCAGTGGAAGGTCTTATGTTGATCACTTCCATATGTTGTTACAGTCCCTTGGGTGGTCAACCTACAGAGGCTTTACTGAATTTTTTTTAGACATATTGACTTCCACCAAAGCAATCCCCCAGCACTCTAGAACATTCCCTTAAAAACTCTATAGAAGGGAAACAGAAGGAAAAAAATAGCTAATCAGTCCACATTATTAAGTCAAAGGTGAGATTTTAAAGCCCTAAATGCAGAGCACTTGGCTTATTTTCACGGACTGCAGATGCAGGTAGTTGAGGACAGAGAGAGGAGAGTGGGGCCGTCAGACCTTGGGAGGTTAATTCAGACCAGATGCTGGAGCACTAGACAGAAGGTGGCCATAGGGCAAGGGTAACACATGGAAATTAGTAAATAGTGAGGGGGGAGAATCCCTGTTGAAATTTAGAAACACTTGAAAATCAAAAACACAAGATGCAAACACACACACATGCACAAAAAAAAAAAAAACAAACAGAAAATTCCTGAAATCCTGTGATGATCACATATATAATAGTAAGTATCAGAGTATCCCTAAAAATGAAAGGGGATAAAGTCAAAGGCAATCTGTGCTGGAAATAGCATGGCCCTGGCAGGGGGGCCTGGAGGCCAGAGTTTGCATTCCTTGGGCAAATCACTCAGCCATGCCCGCTTCAGTTACTTCATCTGTGAAATCAAGAATCTCTTCCAGAAGAGATTGGTTCCCAGTGCACAGCTAGGACAGGGCTGAGCAGCATAGTCTTCCAGAGGTCACCACGTAAGTACAGGTGGTATAAAACACAACATAAACACAGCCACGCTCATAGGAACAAAACCTTTCATTAATAAGGGGAGAGTACAGGGAGATGGGGGAGGCAAGAGACAGACTGGCTGCTGACAGAGACGGCAAACAGATGAGATACTGAGGCAGAAAACCACAATCTCCACAGGCTTTCCTGGAGTGAGCCAGGCTGTCTTGTCCTCTTTACCTGGACAAGGAGAAGCAGAGTTCTGTCCAGGTCTCTCTTCATGGTGTTAAACCAGGTAAGCCCTGCTGTACCTATTCACACCGGAGGGTGAAGGGAGAAGCACAGTAGAATTTCCTGGGCAATAGATGCTTCCGAGGCCAGCCTGCACCATGCCCATGATTCCCAGGGAACTGGCTGGGTGTGCTCTCTAAATTCCTGTGTTGAAACCTAATCCCCAAGGTGGTTGTATGTGGAGGTGAATAGGCCATGAGGGCAGAGCCCTGCTGAATGGGATTAGTGCCCTTGTAGAAGAGGCCCAGGAGAGCCACCTTGCTCCTTCTCCCAGGTGAAGACCTAGCAAGAAGACTCATCTACAACCAGATCTTGGGCCCTGACCAAACACCAGATCTGTTGGCACCTTGATCTTGGCTTTTCCAGCTCTCAGAACTGTGAGAAATGAGTTGTTGTTGTTTATAAGCTGCCCAATTTATGGTCTCAATGGCAGCCCGCAGGTACTAGGACAGGACTTGAACGTCCCTTTCTGGCCTCACTGGACAACAGTGCCTGCTCTGAGGATTCACCATCTGGGCACTGCCTATTGAGCTCCAAATGTGTTCTACTAAGTGAAATGTGGAAAAGGAAAAATAGATTTGGGGCTTGACTAGACCTGCTGTGTACATGTTCCCTTCAGAAAAATCTTCCTTCAGTAGGAATGTAAATGATTTCCCAAGAAACCATCTGGTTCTCTTACAGCCGTGAATGCAGGTGACTTCCGGAGACCCATGCTGCCTTTCCCAGAGGCATTTCCTAATTGGACTTGAGCAAAGCATCCAGGGTTCTATAACCTGGCCTCCACTTTAAACCAAGCCTCTCCTTCCCTTTGAGAAGTGGAAGACATTAAACTAGGAGGCGGGCTGTAGATTCTTGGTCACCGTGCCTATGCTCTGCACACCAACGCAATGGCATAACGTAAAGTAGCTACTAGTCTACTGGGAGGGAGAACTTAGTTTGTCTCGTGCCAAACTTAGGAAGTCCACTCTCTGGGCTAAATGCTCACTCCGGATGCGGTGGAGGAAGTGTCCGTGCGTGGGCTTTGAGGTAGGACAGACCTAGGTTTGGATCCCTGCTCTGCTATTTGTCACAGGGTGGCGTGAGCCTCAGTGTCCTTGGCTGGGAACGGGGGACAGTCAGGAGTGGACGTGCTGGGGATGGGCTCCCAGGCATCCGCACGTGCGCGGGGCACCAGCAGCCGGTCCCTGCGAGCCCCTAAGGATGCCGGCGCTCGTCCTCAGCGTCGCGCCGGGCCTCCTCGGGGAGCCGCGCGGGTTGGGCGCGCTCCCAGGCGCATTCCTGGCCGGGCGGCCCCTCCTCCCTCGGCCTTGGCCAAGGGGCTGGCGCCTCCCCGCCTCGCCCGGACTGTCTCGTGCGGGCGGCTGCGGACGCTCCGGCCGCGGTGCTCCGGGGTCTGCGCGGCTCACCTGGACCCGAGCGAGGATTGGGCGACGCGGATCTCCGCGGCCGCGCAGCGCTCGAGGCCTCCCGCCACCCTCCCTGCCGGAGCCACTCCGGGGCCGCACGGCGTCCGCACCCTACAAGGGCAGCTGCGGCATCGCGGGGACCCACTGGACAAGGGAGGCAGAAGAAGTTATTTCTCCCTCCCCGGCTGCAAGATTCCGATGGGCAAGATGGTGCCCAACTCTCTGCGCGCGCTCTTCCTTTCGCTGCTGCTCCTCGCCTGCCCCGAGTCGCGGGCTTCCCAGGTCAGTGTCCCTCCCGCCACTTCCCTGTCCCGATCTCAGGACACCCAACACCAAGGCCAGAGGACCTGGGTTTGCCACAGTCCCCTGGGATGCTGAGGGTTGAGGGTTTGGAGCGCTGCCTGGCTGAGGTGCACTTTTCCGAGAGAGGTGCAGGGAGTCCCATCTGTCATCACAGATGCCCAGCGGACGAGGCGCCCGAGGGGACCCGGCCGATCTAGCCAAGCTGTTTGTGTGAAAGTGTGGGGCAGGCCACGGGGTGGGGAAGAGGGCTCTGCGCGTGAGAATCGCAGGTAGAAGGAGTACTCCTCCAGGGTTCATGAGACATGGGTCCTTCTGGGTTTCCAGGAGAGCTTAGAGTAACTCAATTAAGTAAAGAATGTCCCCACCTTCCAAACTCCAGAACTTAAATTTCCAACTGAAATATTCTTACCACCACTATCCCTTAATCTTTCACAGGACTTTCTTAGCAGTTTGTAGCATTTCCAAGGCAGAGGTGGCCCTGGAGGTTTCTGAACCTGTTACATCCAGAGGGTGCAGCCAGGCCTTGAATTTGGGACTAAATTTTCTTCCACACATACATGGGCAGCTTGCTGTTCAGTTTTTCTCTTCTTGCCATTAATATTTGTCTGAATTCCACTGGGTATATTTACTTGGCCAGATTCACTTTTATATAACCATTAAGAACTGATTTTTAGAAGTTAAGAACTGAAATGGCCAAGTTCAGAGCCAGCATCCACCAGAGTAACTCTGGGCAGCCAGGGACTCCTTCCCTGGGGTGGGGAGCCAGGCCTGTGGACAGCAACCAGCTACTCTAGCAGCAATGCCAGCAACAGCAATAGTAATCACAGGACTAGGAGGCCTGCACAGCTTACTAAGTGCCTGCTGTGTGTCAGGCTCCTTGTGAAGCATCTCCCAGGCACTTAATTCTCAGAGCAAGAATTGATGTTACTCCCATTTTGCAGATGAGGAAACTGAGGCCCAGGGAGGTTGCAATTTATTCAAGGTCACACAGCCAGGAAGGAGTGTGGAGTACATCTAGTCTCTCTTGCCTGCAGACACTTGTTCATACTCCCTTCCCTGGGACTAAATACCGGGACCACGTGGCCATGCCTGTGGTTAACTAGAAGTCCCTGGCATACAGAAAAGGATTCCATGCAGGGAGAATTGGCCTCAGACCAGACATGGCGCTGTTAGTGCAAAAGGTAGTGAGCAGACACCAGGGAAGCTACTCAGCCACAGGCAGCAGAAGCCCAATCTGGGGCCACCCTGATGCCACTCCACAGAGTTGGGATTGTCCACCAACTCTGCAGATTATAAATCAGAACAAACCTTGGGTCTAGAGCCCAGTGCTGGGAGCAGAGTGGGTGCCTCTACAAGCCAGCTCCCCAGCTGGGTTTCCAGGGAGCAGAGTAGACAGGACATCAGTGAGATGCTTGGGAACCTGGCCTTGCCATCTTGATCTTAGGTACTCAGAACCTGCGTCCAAATTTACTTAGAAAACAGGTGAAATGGCTCGGCGCCTGTGGCTCAAGTGGTTAAGGCGCCAGCCACATACACCTAAGGTGGCGGGTTCAAATCCAGCCCAGGCCCACCAAACAACAATGATGGCTGCAACCAAAAAATAGCCAGGCGTTGTGGCGGGCGCCTGTGGTCCCAGGTACTTGGGAGGCTGAGGCAGGAGACTCGCTTGAGCCCAGGAGTTGGAGGTTGCTGTGAGCTGTGATATCATAGCACTCTACCCAGGGGGATAGCTGGAGGCTCCTGTCTCAAAAAAAAAAAAAAAGAAAAGAAAAGAAAAGAAAACAGGTGAGATAGAGGCAGTGTCATGTGCTTGTGGCTGCTGCAAGGCCAGAGGTGAGCTCACTCAAGCTCTGTTTCTGGGACTTTGGGTTCAGTCCCTACCCTGCCACATCCAGGCTTTCTCAAATTGCTTATCCTCTAAACCTTGCTGTATTTACCTGCAAAATACCTGCCTCAGGTGCTGCATGAGGGGGAAGGGAGCAAAAGGGATTGTCTATAGTTGTTCATTTAAAATTTCAAGTGCAACTGGGGTCTCCTCTCTCCACCTTAGCCCTTGGGGCCTCTGTGCGTGCTGGAACAAGCTTACCTGACCCCTGCCATCCTTCGGGTCTCTGCTACGATAAGTGCTTCTTCCCAGAGGCCTTTCAGAAACCCACTCAACAAAGGTCCCCTTTCACCCCCCTCCATTTTTTTTCCTTTCTAAAAAATTTAACATATTAAGGAAGTACCAATGTCTGTTACATGGATAGATTTCATAATGCTTAAGGTCACGGCTGTGAGTGTGCTCTCACCTGGATTGTGTTCCCTGTACCTGATAGGTAGGTTTTCACTTTTTTCTTCCTTTCCTCCCCCCTTCTTGGTTTCCAGTGACTTTTATTTGTTTCTGTTGCTCTAAATTTTCTATTCAGGTTCCTTGAGGGGCTCTGGCATAGGACTGCTCACTGTTTGTCACACCGTGTTTTGGTAGGTTCCAGTTTTATTGACTGTCTTCCAACAAACTCCTGAGCCAGCTGGGAGTTTTATGTAAGGACCGGCACACAGTAGGCACTCAGAGGAATAACGGGCGCTGGTGCTGATCTGGACCATGGCTGCACATCACAACACCCAGAAGCTTCTAGAAATCCCAATGCTGGCCTTAACCCAGAGATTTAAATTTAATTGGTTTAGGATGAGTCTTGGGCACCAGTATTTTATTTTTTTTTACAAATATTTTTTTTTACACTTTATTGCCCTCAGTAGAGCGCTGTGGCATCACAGCTCACAGCAACCTCCAGCTCTTGGGCTTAGGTGATTCTCTTGCCTCAGCCTCCCTAGTAGCTGGGACTACAGGAGCCTGCCACAACGCCTGGCTATTTTTTTGTTGCAGTTTGGCTGGGGACAGGTTCAAACCCACCACCCTCAGTATATTGGGCCGGTGCCCTACTCGCTGAGCCACAGGCGCTGCCCAGGCACCAATATTTAAAAATTTCTGCTGGTGATCCTAGTAGAATGGGCACCTGAGACCCACGGGACCCCAGCTTTATAATTTAAAAGCTGTGGACCTAAGGGAGGGTTGAGGGGAAGGAAATTCACAATGGACACAGGATTAGACTCATGAGGGTCTGAGGTGTCCTGGTGTCTGGAGTTGACCTGAGCTAAAAATATTGTGAGTCCTGGGACTCTTGAATCCAGCGATCATGGGCGTTGGCTGGTGGAAATTCAGTGAGTGTTTGGAGAATGAACTATCCCTACAGGACTATCTCTTGCCCCAGAGGAGATGAGATAGGTCAGGCAAGAGGCACCAGGAAGGGGCTTCCCTGGCAATGGCCCAGTGGCACCATGACCCTAAGGCCCTCTAGGTAGAGGCAGCAGGAGCTCCTCATGTGAGCAGTCCACAGCTCTGTTCTCAGGGTTCTTCAGTTTTCAGGTAAGTGTGCTCACTTTGGCTGTTATGTAATAGCCCCAGGGTAACTTGATGGGTGTGTATCTGTGTGTTCGCGTGTGTCAGTGCATGGGTGTGTATGTGTGGGTGTGTGCCTGTGTCTGTGTGAATATGTGATGTTGTGTATGTCTCTGTAGTGCCTGTGATTGTGTGCATATGTCTTTGTGTATCGGGGCCTGTGCATGTGTCTTTGTGACTGTCTGTATGTGCTGCAGGATCCAGAGCAGTGACCCTGTGTGGATGGACAGTCTCCTCCTTCTCTCCTACTGTCTTCCATGGCTTTCTGCTGTGTCCCTCTTGTCACCATATCTGTCCTGAGTCACTTTACAGGATTTTTGTGACTGGCTGATGAAGAGCAGGTTGTCATGGAGAAGGAAGGGAGCTAAGCAGTGTGGAGGGCCTCTGCGGAGGAGCCCCTTCTTGTCACTGGCCTGCTTGGTGGCCTTCCCACTGGAATAGAAACAGCCTACCTGGGGAGACCAGAACACACATCCAACAGCCCTTGCGTCTCACCCCCTTCTGCCCAGAGTGGCTCCTGGTGAGGCAGGCCACAGACTCCCGGCCCATGAGGGGAGTGGTACTGGGGTTTCATCAGGCTTTCCGTCCCCAAACCTCTCCCTGTGATCAGACATCTTGGGGCTCCAAATTCCATCATCATCATTCCTTTAGTTGCCTCCTCCCATATGATATGTTGCTTTTTACACTCAAATAAAAATACCTGCTTTTGGTATACATGTCCACGATTTTAACCATAAAGCTATATTCTGTATGGGTGAACCACCACCATGATCAGAATACAGAAGAGTTCCACCACCCCCAAAATTATATTGTGCTGCCCTTTAAAGTTACACTATCTACCTACCCCTCCCCTGGAAACCCTGATCTATTCTTCAGCACTATAACTTTGTCTGCTCCTCAGTGTCCCGCAAATGGATTAAAGAGTATATACATAGCTTTGTGAGTGCGGCTTCTTTAACCTAGTAGAAAGCATCTGGGATTCAGCCAGGTCCTGGTTCCTTTTTATTGCTGAGTAGTGTTCCCTTGCGTGGATGTAGTTTATCAGTTCACCCTTGGAACAGCACCCATGGTGTCATTGCCGGTTTTTGACATTATGAACAGAGCTGCTATCAGCATTCATGTACAGCTTTTTGTGTGAATGAAATTTTTATTTCTTTGGAGAATATGCTCAGGAGTGAGATTGCTGGATCATATGGCAAATGTATACTTAGCTGTCTAAAAAACTGCCAAATTACATTCCATGTTAGTTTCATCACTTTACATTCCCACCAGCAGTGTAGGAAAGACTCGGTTACTCAGCATCCTCACCGGCACTTCCAAACCACTTCAGGTGGGTTTGTTTCCAAGTCGTTCTAATAAGTATGTAGTCGTATCTCATTGTGGTTGTAATTTCCATTTCCCTAATGACTAATGATGTTGGGCATCTTTTCATGTGCTTATTTGCCATATGACTAGTCTATTGGGCAAAGTCTATTCAAACCTTTTTCCGTTTTTTTAAGACAGAGTCTCACTCTGTTGCTTAGGCAAGAGGGCCATCATG